TTTTGGATCTGGGCTCTTGGTAAATTGCCAGGTTAGGTTTTAACGGCTAGGATTATAACTAAAACCGTAAGGGACTGTTAAGTGGACCGGTCACTAGGATAACCATTTAGAACTCTTGTTGTTAACATACAATAGCTTTACCCTTTTACTGCCATGAGGAACTTCTACTACCTCAGCAAATGAATGCTCTTGAGAACTTTACTTTAAATGCGGATTAGATATTTATTGCAGGATATATTTAGCATGGGCACAGCTACAGCTCTTCATAATAATATACGATACTTAATTCAATCAGGTTACAATTTCTTTTCAGGTTATACTCATTAATTGTCGATGCCGAGGCGGCTCGGTGGAGCTGGATTCACGATGTAATAAAAAAGTCCTTTGTGGGGTTTTCAGGAGCTGGAGGTCCGCCAAACCTTCAGCTCCTCCTGCGAGGCCAACGAAGTCCGTTCAGCGCTCTCTCAGACTCAGTACAAAGTCTTTAGGGCGTCGGCGTCCATCTGTTGTCCGGTTGTTAAAGTCAAACAGGGGGGAGAGGAAAATCTCCGTCTTTCAATCTTTGTCCTGGAACGGCTGTCTTCTTTCCGTGAACAGAGACGAAGTCCTCCGATGCGGTTTGTTGAGCGAGGTCCAGTGTCTTCTCCGTGGAGCACTTGGGTGGCTCCCGCGTTGAATCCCGTCTTGCTATCTGCAAGTCTTCCTTTTTATAACTTGGAGCTCTCTCCCCTCCCTCCTCCCCAACACTCCCTCCCTCGGCAAGTGATTTACATGACATCATTGATTAAATGTGTGTGTGCTGCGAACAACGCCCTAACTTTCTGGTGTGGATACGCTCACTTCCTTCTTTTCTGAGCGTGTTCGGACATCACCCCACCATCTGTTATGATCTCATCCTTTAAGGTCCCCATCCTGCTTACATCAGCTCTTTCCACACACACACAGACTTCACTTCTTACTCAGTTATACATTTGTTAAATCACTTCATTATCCTTATGTTATACATACTTGCTTTAAAATGATTACTTATTATATGCTTTGTGTCCCTTTATCCTACTTTCATATCGAACTGTATTCCTTCATTTAAGGCAGCTTTCCTGGGATCTCAATCCTCCTTTTTTGACACAGGCACTTCTGTATTTAAGTCCCAGTGAAATGAAAATTACATTTTTCCTGTTTTGATTCTGTTACGCTTTGTTAATTATTTGTTTATCTGTTGTTACATACCAAATATATGTCAGGAAATAGTCTTTAGAGTATTTTGGCATCAACTCCCTGTGTTTCCTTTTCTTTCAAATGTTTGATGACTCACCCAGCACTCAGGGACCTTTACAAAGGTCAACCAGTCAAGTGAGACTAGCTACCTCCATCGTTCACATAGAGCTGCACTTCACTGTTTGTGGATCATAGTAGCTAACACACGTGTTCATTTCTGAAACAACCTGCAGAGTTTCCATGTCGTCTCTCCCTCGTCCTACTGATCTAACGACACCGTTCACTTCCCTTTCATTCACACTTTAACACGTTGAAACATCTTTTTCCCAGTTGTAAATGTTGACACCAATCTACAAGTTAAAAGCTGGTAATCACAGTAAGTTCACCATGACATGAATGATGCTTCATAACCTCCACCAAGGAGGTCAGCGTTTTGGTTTGTTTTGTTTGTCTCTATATATATATATATATCAGCAGTATTTCATGAAGCTTGGTGGAAGGGTGTAGCATGGGCCAAGGAAGCAGCCATTACACTCAGGAACAGATCCGAACCACACAAGTTATCATTGAGTAAAAGGGCTTCAAGACGAGGTTGAGGTCTGCTCTGTTCAAGTGCCGCTCTAGTTCTCTATGGGTTCTTCACGAGGATCTACCGTACTCTTTCAATGGTACACACCTCATTTCAGCTATTGTTCATATGAAAACACTAATTAGTGTTGAGTTCTTCCTCAATTGTCACTATCAGCATCCACAGAAATGGAATAGAGAACAGTTCCTTTCTGTTTACTGTACAGTCACAGTGCCTGGGTGACCAAGTGTTGACCATACATAAACGTATATATCTAATGTTTGAGTTCTTTGAAGTTAGTATTTTGATGGACATGCCGACATGACAAACTGACATACTGTATATAGAAGAGACAGTTTCATTAATAAGAGACTGGAGACGCTGGTCAGACGGAGGCCTTCCTTCAGCTGCTCATATCAGCTCCTCTGTGCTGTGGTTCTTCCATGATTACTGCTGCGATTGACTTGGCTCTCACTGAGGGGAAATGTGGTCAGAACAAATAAGCTGCTTCCTTTGGTACAGTGTGGAGGAGTGAATGAGTGGAGTACGGGAGGGTTTGATGCTTTTGATGTCTCTGTGCAGCTTCCAAACAGCGAAGTCATTACGTGGTGTTCTAAGCTGATCTTAGGCAGAGTATCCTTTGGCTCGGGCCAGAAATAGATCTCAGTGGAAGCTATGTAGAAGAACCTCATCCATCATTCATGTCTGTGCTAGTGTAGGCCAGCAATTTATGGCCCATTTATACCATAGTAAAAAACAGCTCACGTGACAAAGAAGTCTGTTACACATGTTACTATAGCAACCAGAGTGTGTCCACAACCAGCAGGCTGAGCTGGATACAGTCATGTACAGTACATGTGACTATTTCATAGAGACTCTGTCCACACTGAGAACACCAAACATGAGGTGACAACATTCTGAATCTGTTCCATCTCTGGAGCCTGATCCAGCTGTTCAATCACCACATGAAGAAAGATGTTCAATCACCACATGAAGAACCATGTTCAATCACCACATGAAGA